TTTCTTTGGACCTAATCGCTTCGGCTATTGTCGCAGGTGGCGTGCTGTGCGGCGAAGAGGCGTTTAAGAAGCGACGCCGGGTAGTGGTGCGAGACTTCAACTTCAAAAATTGTTTTCTCGTTTTAAACAAAAATTACTCTGATTAAACTTTCAGAATCAAAAGACGATCAATCGTTCTTCCAAACCCACCATATTTTGTATTTTTACTTGGACCACCTCATGGTGAAATAAACGGCTGTTTATGCGTCAAAACACACTTTTTGGCAACTTCAGGATTTTTTGTTTTACGGCAAGATGTTTAATTGAGCGGTTTAAAATATTTTTTATACGTTTTATACCTAAAGGGCGACCTATAAAAAGTTATATTAGGTCCCGGGAGCAATTATATATTTTTTAGTAAAATGAAAAAAATGTTGATTTTTGAATAAAATTATGTATTTTTTAAAAATATTTAAATTAAACAAAACAGCACAAACTCAACCACATTCTAAGCCGACAACCGTGCAAAGTTAAGAAAAAAATATAGTTTTGTGTTTCATAAAAAAGCTGATTTTTCGTATATTATTGAGTGATGCCTAGTTTCACGCTGTTTTCAAAAATTAAAATCGCGCTCACGTCATCACAAACTTTTTTTTCGTCAAAACTATTTTAGGGTATGGCTACGGACCTTGTGACCGAAGCCCATAAATTTTTTTTAGAAATCGGAGGTGGTCGAGCGCAACGTCTGGGACGTTTCACATGGAATGACCCAATAGGCTTAGTATTGAAGCAAACTTGGTGGACTAAATGTTGTCTACAAATAGTGCCAAATGGTGCCAACTTCAACTTCGCTGTTTGTGCCAACGAAGGCGCCGACAATGTGCAGCACTGAGATCAAAAAGATCAACGAACAAGTGAAAAGTAAACAATATAAAGTGGAAGTTTCATGGGAACTTAAAATTGACATTAAGCAAGTGGAAAGTGGCCAATATGCAGTGGAACATGCGTTGCAATTTGATAATTTGATTAAAATCAATTTTTCGGACCACTTGATTATTCGGACAATTTCGGGATCCCCCGCGAGTCCAAAAGATTGGTCGGCGACCGTATTGTCGACGGTGTTGACGGAGGTATCTCGTACCTCTTGGGGTTTGCGGATTTCTTCAAACCAAGTCAAACATCTTCCAGGGTTGTCCGCTTCACCTTCAGTGACAGGACCTTTCTTTTCACTGTTGGTGGTCCAGAAAGTGACATATTGCACAAAATCCGGGGATAGTCAGGGTCGGCAGCGGTAGGTTAAGTCAGGTAGGGTACCGTAGTGTATGGAGGGGAGTCCGCCTCAATGTTGAGAGAAACTTTGTATAGGTCCGTAGTCAGATGGCGAAACGGGGGACGAAAAAATGCGGAGCAAACAGGAACGGCCGAAAACCCTAAATTTCGTGCAAGCCACGCGTACTGTGGAGGACAAAACTTACCAAACAGAGCGAATTCCTCCCTCGCTCGGACAAAGCGTGGTAGCCGCCTTAGTTGCAGGATCCGTACGCAATTGTTTGTTTTTGCGATTATTTTCCACAAAGAAACCGTAAATAGCTTTTCTTGCACTTAATTTGAGTATGTTTTGCAACTTTTTTTTTGCTATATCCATGGCGGGCCTCCCATAGTTTTTCGTTAAAAGCGGGCTCGTATCTCATTGCGGGTATACAAACGGTAACGGGAAATTAAAATCCGTTTGTTATATCCATTATTGCGCTATTTCCAGGTTTGTTAAAAGTGGGCTGTACTGTAGTTCAAACTTTGTTTATTTCAAACGTTTCAACACCCACTTGAAATTAAAGGGACCATGAAATTACTTTTTTACTTTTTCCAGATAACTTTTACATTAAACCGTCAATGTTCACTGAATGCCGAACAGGCATCCGTTTTCGTCTCGGTTTATTAACTTCTACACAAAAAATTAATGAAATATCGACTTTTTCTTGACCGCAAAACAAGCCGTGACGTACGCTGCTTCCGGAACCGGAAGTTCTCTCGGCAGTTGGAGATGGGAGCGTTAGCGGCGACGAGTTGAGGTGTGCCGGTAGGTTTTACTGCGCCGATGTCACCGACGTATTTTCTGAATCGGCGCCTCTCATCGCCACATCGCAGCTGAGCGAAATTCAATGAGATACGTTGCGCTACAGCGACAGCATACGCCGTTATGCCTGTTGGGAAGTGCAGCGAGTCTTCCGGTGAAGACTCCAGAAGTTAACCCAACTGTCATTGTTGGTAAAAGGCGGCCAGTGTCAGTCGTTTGCAAAGCGACGTAGATGGAAACAAATTGCCGCGGCGTTTTTCGCGGTCTCGGAGATGCAGGAGCGAGCCGACGTTAAAAAAGATATGTTTGAACTACGAGTGTCAGCAAGAGCCAAGTAAATACCTGTTCACACTCAGAGCGGACGCGCGCGTTTGATGAAGTGCTGTATTCGCGCTGTTGGTAAGCGCTTCGGGACCGATCTTTTACGATTGCAACTCGATACTGACGCGACACTCGGCAAAGAAAGGTTGGACCGGTATTGCGCGTATACCTCCCACGAACTGTTACAGCTCGACAGTGACGTGCAGTCTGTCAGAATAAAAATGGCATACCAATAACAAAGTGTACATACCGTGTTACGAAGGTAATCCATACAGCGTTTATTTCAGCTCTATATCACACAAAACAAGAAGAGAGAATTGACGAGGGTCCCTTTTCGACGAGTGTTCGTCAACCCTGCCTCGGAAAACAAGGGGAAGAGATTGACCTCACCTCTTAACCTAAAATTGAGGTCAGCGATCAAACTATAATACGGGAAGGGTCCACAAGGGTAGCGCGGGCATATTCCATTCAGCACGCCAACCGGTCGTAGGCAGACAGACGGTCTTGCGACGAAGCAACGCTGCGCCGAGTCGGAGTGCCTGCTAGGCCTATATCCTGAGAGCTTCGTAGGAGCGGGATTCGCGGCTGTTGTCGCTCTTCTCGGGTGTTTGTGGATCCAGCGTTCTTGTTCGTCGTGGTTTGTTTTAAGTACATTTCTTTCTTGCTGCTTGAAGTCGGCACGCGCGAGATGAACACGTAGAAAAATAAACGTTCAGTCAGTCAGAGTTTTGAGAGGAAGGAAACCAAAGGAAATAACCGTTCTGAACTTGGCCCTGCCTTACTGCGCACGCACAGTAGTTGCTTCGTTTACCACACGATAGATGGCGCTTGGCTCTCAGCATTATCAAATTTGGCAATTTTCGCCACACATCTCTAATTATGCTACAAAATGTGGATCTGAATATTATTTAACAAAACTTTTAGGAAACATTCGCCGGCTATTTATTGTTTACGATCGCGGTGCTGGTGAGGTAGGCTCTTACCCAATAGGCGACCTGGATTTGGCTGACGTGCTCCATTTCCGCGGATGCATCGTAGTGAACAGGCGAAGGAAGGAAGGCGCAAAAGAGTCCAGTTTTCTTTTAAAAGTTCTATAGCAAATAATTTTTTTTGGCTCCCTAGTTTTGTGTTTTTGTGTTTCTTTTCACACCTTTTACGAGGTGCGGTGGATGAAATTCGATTTTAAAATCATTTCATGGTCCCTTTAACAAGCTTTTAACGCGTCTAGTTACTATAGACCTTTGTCCAGAAGTGCTCTTTTTAGCCTCGACCGCAAGGAGCAAAAGCGAACAATAATCTCGAACCCAAATGCTCACAGGGAGGGGGGGCTGCGTCGGCCTGCGCCGCCGCTTCCCGTTGAGGGCTTCTTCGCTGGTGTGCCAACTGCCGTTTCGCCGGCACCGGTCCTGTTTACCGCGGTATGTGAGTACAGTGCCCATAATGTGAGAGCCGTGTGTCCATACGCCACTTTGCCGCTGTTGGTTTCCATCTAGCCGAGCCAGAAAACATCTCGCGACGAGTTGACCGCACCGCGAGTGACGACGTGCTAACATACTCGGAGCCCTCGTTTACGCCGCTTCGCAGCGGCAGACAAGGCGCCACATTACAAAAGAAAGCTAATCTGGGCTGTCTATGTAACTAGACCCATTCGCTAGTCATTCGATGAAACGCTGTGGTCTCGTTTTCATTCGCTAAAACGGCGTTCGATCAAGTGAACGCCTCCCACTTATTTTGGCTCGGCAGAGCCGCGCTGCCGCAGAAAGGCAAGCAGATCGCGAAAATCGGTCTCAAACGTTTCACGAATGTAATGTCGTATACAAGAAGTCAACAATCAAGCATTTGAAAGCTACAAGAAAGCGGTAGCGAAATATTTACTACGCAATGAACCCGGACTGAAACACGGATGTCAAGGGTCAGCAGACACCAAGAACATTTAAGACAAAAAAAGGTTTTCTCTTGTTTTCTTGATAGAGATGGGTTCTCGAATGTTCACGACATCTTATCTGTTGAAGAACGGGTCGTGGAGGCTTCTGGTGAAGACATCGTTCACGATGTGCCTGTGCATTCGGACAGCCTGCCGCATCCAGCTCCCCAAAGCAACGCCGCCAACGCAGCCCCCCCTCCTGCCTGCCAGTTCTCTCCGCGTGGTGGCGCGAGCGTAGATAAACATGGCGGCGCCCTGGAATTGGCGCGGACACTGGTCTATACAAGCACCTTCTTCCTAAAACATGCTTCCGTGTCCGCATGGCTGATTGTCCCGCCCAAAGTGTACGATACACAAGCCTAAGCTGCTACGACACCTCTCTCCTTGTTGCCCTTAACTGGCCAGGTGAACAAGAAACTTAGAGAAAATGGAGGTAAGGAAGAAAAGAAGGAAACATACCAGCACAAGCGAGCCAAACGAGAAGACCCCGACGGAAGCAGAAAGTATAGGTTGCTGTTGGTGGGAACGCCCCCAAGGGCATCCTTGGTTTTGTTTGTTTTTGGCCATCGTTGGGGGCGTGTCCCTCCAAACTCTAAGTCTTTCCCAGCTTCACCTCTGGCGGCATCGTGTCACATCCAGAAGCTTCCTACCTCCAAGCTAGAGAGAATCCCCTCCCTCATCCACCTCACGAAGGACACCCACCTCCGTTTTTGTGCTCCATGGTGTCCTCTCCGGACGAGACGGAAGGGTCGGCTCCCGCCAGGCTGTAGCCCTCGATGAACTCAGTCTGGACGCTGTCATGAAGATCTGTCTCCGGCACGGGGTAGGTATCTGGGTAGGACACGATGTGGCACACGACCCCGTTCGAATTCTCTGCAAAACAGTGCACAGGCAGTCAGCACCCCTTCACCGCAAGCTGTTGTACGGAAGCTTAGACACCGCGGAGTCACTGACAGCGTAACAAGCGCATGATGTGGCACGTCCCAAGCGTCTCATTATCACTCCACAGCCTAAGAGATTGCGGTATTAGCCAATCAGAATACCAAAGAACCTATCAGAAAGCAAGAAGCGTCGACGCAATAAGCCACACCCTGCATTTCTCAAATCGTCAGTGACTACAGACTGCTTTAAAGTCGCATCTGGTGTCTCTGTTATACAACTTTGTTATACTCCATCTTCTTAACAGGCACTACAAGCTGTGTTAGCACTATAATCCTTCACGTGTTGCACGTGACCTCAAGTCCCTCGTAACAAGAAGGCCAAGCAACACAATCCGAGCTATGGATTGGCTCCATCGTGCACAGAGCCAATCCATAGTGTTGTGCACGACTGTGCGGGGGGACAAACGGATAAGGACATTGGCAAACGCCCCTTCGCAAGCCCAGGACTTTGTTGCTCGTGCGCGTCTCAGTCACCCAATGGGCCAGGTGGAAATTATGAGCTTTTTCCTAATGTATTCTAGTTTGCACATATAAATGTTTACTAACTTTGCCTGTATGTATTTGAGATCATGCCTACAAACTTTTACAGTGTGCTTATTTCAGTTGATACCTATGAATGTTTACAATCTTTCTGAGACAATTTAAGTTCACACCTATGAATGTCTGAGTAAAATAAATTGTCTCGTGACAGTTCTTAGCTGTCTCATCTCTAGTTCCCCCCCCAAATGGTGTTCTAGTTTCTTACGTTTTGCCGGATCATAAGTTTTATTTCCCCGATCCACTGGAAAACATATCAACGAGGTCCTACTGTATCTAGGGATGCCACAAACCACCCTAGGTTCGAATTCGAAAGGTTTCAATATTTTTGAACCGAACTGATGTTCGATTTCGAAAAGTTTAGATATTTTCAACCGTAGGGAGGTTCGAATTCGAAAAATTCTCAACTTTCCAGAATCTTGGGGTTTCGAGTTCGAAAAGTTCGAAGCTTTTACGGTTTCTAAAAGTTCGGATTCGAATATTTGTTTACTTGAGGTTTGATAAATTCGAATATTTCGAACTTCTCTAATTTGAAATTCGAGAGATTTGAATGTTTCAAATTTCTTTAGATCTAAAATTCGAAAAATTTGAACGTTTCGAATTTTCAAAGACATAAAGTTCGATAAATTCGAAGATTTTGAATTTCTTTCTACATAAAGTTAGAAAAGTTTAAAGGTTTCGATTCTCTTTTAGTTCTAAATTAGAGAAGAAAAAAAAAAAAAAACTTTGAAGGGTTCTGATTTTTTTTAAGTCCAAGTGCGCAAAGTTCGAAGACCGGTTTTCATGTTCCGCCACAGTTTCAGTTTCAAATAATGTTTTCACGCCTCACTGGTTTTCACGAAATCAGGCTTAGAAAAGTTTGGGTGTGATATTTAGACTGCGCAAAGTTGGTCAGGCAATTAAATGAGACGACGAGTGCCCCGCATGTGCTGGAATATTTGCCAGTGCAGTGATGTGCAACAATAGATCAGCAATTGTGACCACCAGCCCGGAGTGGTCATTAACGTGCATTACGAAGTAGTGATCCTACGAACGCACTGTTTAACAACACTCATCCAGTTCGAAACGGCCAGGGGCAGGCAGGTGGTTGAGGCTCAGAAAAACCTTGAAGTAATCTGGCAAACTGCCCCCCTACCCCCTTGCACGCTGGTAGTAATCCGATCGAACGCCGCCCGAGTGACGCTGGCATATAGTAAGTTTAGTTTGTACATGATGCAAAATCCTGAGACTGATAATGAAATTTGAAAGAAAAAGTGTAAGAAGACAGAAAAAAGGGGACAGGACAACGTCTCGAACTCAACTCAGCTGAAAACTCAGCTCAGAACAACGTCTCAAACTCAATTCAGCTCAAAACTCAGCTCAGGACAACGTCTCAAACTCAACTCAGCTGAGTTTGAGACGTTGTCCTGTCCCCATTTTTCTTTTTTCTTACACTATTTCTTACGAATTTCACTCCCAGTCTCGGGATTTTGCATCATGATCAACATACACCAGCATGCCTGCACCTTGACAATTTTTTTGTTTGTAATTGCTTTGGAGGTTTATTTTCTGGGGCGAAAGAAACACCGAGCAAAACGCACAGAAGCTGACGCAACTTGAGGTCGAGGAGCATTCTACCATACCAGTGGCGTCAGAACAAGAAAAGCGGGGGAGGGGGGGGGAGCTCCAGTCTCTCCCCCCCCCCCCCCTCCCCCCAGATATTTCGGACTGTTAAAGAAAACAATACGGGGAAAGAAGGCATGGTCGAGCTTATTTTAATCTGAAATTATTTATGCATAACTATAGCTACTGTCGCTCTTCACTGCATAAAAGATTGCGTAGATGGTCATTGTTAAGGCCAGTTCTCACATGCAGAGAAGCGCTGATGTAACGCTGCTCACGTGCCGTCAGCGCTAGCACGAGGTCAGCGCTATGCTTGTTGCGCTCCGCTGCATGTGTGAACAGGCCTTTAGAAACTCGTTGTCAGGAGGCACTACTCGTCACATGCTCGGTGGCTCGAAAGTTCAAAGCTATGTCTTTTCGACCTAAATAACTCTGCCATTGGTAAAAAAAAATCAATAAATAAACATAACAATAAATGCAAAAATAAAAAGCTGGAGAAAAAAAAAAAAACATCAAGAACCTGCCGGAAGTGTTGTATTCTTGCATATTCAGAGGCCCAGAACTATCAAACAAGTTTCTCCTACCAAAATGCGTACAGGCCAAAAGAAACACGTCCCAAAAGCGTAAAATGAGAAAAAACAAATTTTTTTTATGACGCGCTGAACTTGAACAAGTTTAGAAATCTTCCCCCGTGAGTTAATTTATTCCTCAACGTGAAAAAAGCAATAAATACGTTATTTTGTATTCTACAGATGGTAATGATATGTACTGTCTCTGGTGTTAATTTAAATGCGATACCCAAACAATGTAGGCGAAAAAAATTACCAAGTTTAGGGCATCATTGTCCGTAGGTACATGTTTGGATATTTATTCGAAACTCGTATTGAACAACAATAATCATATCTTAAGACGACACTCACCTAGGCTATATATAGATCATTCTTAAAAGGTTTAACATCTCTACCATAAATAGCTCCGGCTATAGCGCGCTTCAAATATGGCAAAAACGACAATTGTCAAAAACCCGTCGTCCTTCCTCGCTTTTTCGGGAATCTATTTTTCTAAAACCAAGCATGCCAGATGATTGAAATAAACGGCATTGTCTTTCACAAGGAATGCATCACCCAATGTAAAATTGCAAAAAATGAAACCGCCCGCCGGTCTTTCGAAGTTCGACGAGCTTTGAACTTTTACCCTAAAAGTTCGAAGTTCGTCGAACTTTTGACTTTTCAGGAATCGAGAGTTCGACAATTTTAGAATTCTTTAGATTAATAGGTTCGAAAGTTCGAAAATTATCGAATTTCTTAGCGTAGGAAGTTCGAAAGTTCGAAAAGCTTCGAAATTTTTAGTGCAATAAGTTTGAAAGTTCGAAAATCATCGAATTTTTTCGTCTATCAAGTTCGAAAGTTCGACAAGCATTGAATTTTGGAGCGTAATAACTTCGAAAATTCGAAAAGCGTCAAACTTCTTAGTTTAATAAATTCGAAAATTCAACTTCCGTCGAATTTCTCGATATGGAAAGTTCGAAAATTCGAAATCTTTCGAACCTTTCAAACCGCTTGATTCGATCATCGAAACTTCAATTCGAAAAAAGTTTGCGGCATCCCTAACTGTATCTATGCTTAGACGAAAAGATGTTTCAAATTTAGCCTTATATCAAGCAGAAAATCGCACTACTTGCTGACTGACAAAATTGTCGCTCCTGGTGACATTGCACCATGATTCCCATGGCCACCATATGCGGCTGCAAATTGAAAATTAGCCACCTTTTCTCCTTCGAGATTAGGCAGCAGAATAGCAGTATTTCAAAGAAAGGTGACGCGTTTACTCGCACTTCCGCAGAGTAAACAGTTTAAAAAATGCAAGCTGTAAATTCTTTCAACGTCAAAATTAATGCATTGCACCTTTAAAGGAGCTGTGCAAGAGTTTCAGTGCTTTGCTTAAATAAATTGGGAGTTGGTGTCTCGACCTTTTTGAAGTAGAGAACAAAAAAACGCTTTTGCCTGCATGTCCTAGTTTTTATTATAAAATTAACAAAGATTGAGGTTTTTGGCGCCTCTCAACTCCTTCACCATCTTCCGAGTCACAGGTGCTGTGTTGTCAATGGGGTTGGCGCGGGGTTCCGGTGAAGCTCTCTCTCTAGAGCCATCCGTGAGCAGCAAGAACTTATCCGCTCGCGACCGCGTGACCATGCGCTGGGGGGGGCAGTGCGAACAATATGGTGAAAGGAGGAAAGTCTCATTCGGGTCCGGCCATACCCGTCCGGCCCTGTCCCCCTCCCACTCCGGCTTCTGGTGGCTGTTCGCGGTAGCAGATAGAGCTGACAGTTTTGTGGACCTAGGATAGATGGCGCCACTAAAACTCCGTTTAATAGAAGTTTTGTCGATGACACCAGGTTTTTGACGAAATTTATATTGATGTTAGAACAACAAGATTTAAAGAATAGTTACCTTTTATAGAGCAGGTATTCGCACAACTTGCTATTTTTTTACAAGACCCCCATTGACGTCATGCCGCGCGTTTCTCACGGCCGCCGCTTGCGGCTGCAGGTCGGAGAATATTCTCATTTTTGCCTCGCGATTATGCGGCAGAATCGCAACATTTCGAAGGAAGGAGGTGTATTTTCCGTCCTTGTGACAAGGTGAACAATTTAAAAGAAATAGAAGACGCCAATTCTTTCAACGTCAAAATCGTTGCACAGCTCCTTTAAAGCGGCACTAAAAAGGATTCTGCGATTGTCTGTTCTTGGTCTCAACTGATTCTACAGGCCCTAAGCATAATAAAACTCCAAAAATTACAATAATGTGACGCCGATTTCCCTATCAAAAATGCGATGAAAAGTCGGGACACACCACTTTCTGAGCGGATTTCCCGCTCAGGGACACCGCTGCTAGGGTGTTTCTAAGCGGTGTCAGCGCGGTGACGGCGGGCACTCGTCGGCCAATCGCAAGGCACCTGACGAGCACCCATCGTCACTGTACTGTCACCGCTGCTAGGGCGTGCTTTGCCTACCGTAATATCCCGAGTCATCGCCCATCCCCGAGCCATCGCCCACCCCATTTTTTGGGCCAATATTGATTTCCGAAAAAACACCGAGTCATCGCCCACCCCTTCAAATACCCCAGCGCGGACTCTGCGATCCGCGAACACTCATCCTACCCGAATGACGCGGCCGCGGACCTTACAGTTGGAGGACGTCCGTGACAAAGTAAAACGAAGGAGGGAAAGACACTTCTTTTTGTTTACGCATTTCCTCCGTGAGCGACCCCAAAGTGGTCGTGTATCCGTGCGAAAAGAAAACGACGGAGATAACAAAATAAGAGTTTGTTAACGTAACCGCGGAGTGTTAGGTCAAAGTCTGTCTCCGCCGAAGTAAGGTCATTGCGAACCCGCTCCTTCTTCCCGCCCGTCGCGACCGCGGTTGTGCAATATTTTAGGCAAAGCCAAAGCGTAAATAAAGCTTTGCTGGAACGTCCTACACAGACGTTTGCAGAGCGTCCCAACCGTGCATTGATAGCCCGCCGTGCACGGATGCACGTATGTACGCACCAAACAAGAAAGTTGCGCAAGAGCTTGCAATTGACAAGGCGCCCGACTTGGCCCGACGCCAAAGTATTTGCCAACGCGACCGCCGGCTTTCCCGCTTTCCCAGCATTGCTCTTGGTCGCTTCTTTGGTCCGCTCTCTCGCTCGCTCGTTGCGCCTGGTCGGTTTTTCTATTTTCTTGTAGACTTTTCTTTCTTTCTTTTTTAACTAACTAGGAGAACATAGTGGTGACATTCTTTCACGGAACAAACGTGCGTGCTATATGCAGATCGGCGGTGTTTCTAGCGCGTATGCAATCATCGGACTTTGCTATAGTAAAATATTCTTTCGTGAGCATTTTTTTCTATAAAACAATGAAACTAAATCGAGTTTTGAGTTTGTTGTATTTCTTGTGCATCAGCGCTAGATACGCAGAGAAAAATAGGCAGTTTTTTCCGCTTTTTTTTAAGTGTTTGTGCTCACCCACCGAGACATGGCCCACCCCACTTTTTTAAAGAATTTCAGGCGGTTGGGGGGTGGGCGATGACTCGGGATATTACGGTATACACACAGGAAGGGGTGTGTCCTGACCTTTTATCACGTTTTTAATAAGGAAATCGGCATCGCGTGATTGCAATATTTGAATTTTTAGAGTGCTTAGGGTCCATAGAATCACTTATGACCAAGAACAGGCGATTTGAGAATCCTCTTTATTGCCCCTTTAACTGCTACGTCAAAATGCTGCGACTGGATGCAACACACGCACGAAACAGAAGCATCTGGCTTGAGCTGGAATACGACCAATGTGTTGGCAAACACCCAAGATTGGGCTCACAGCGATGGAAATAGCGGAGTCTTAACAATATACACTCTTTGCAAATGTGCCAGATTACAGCCACCATTGCTGAGCTTCTCTTGTCTTACCGAGATACCAAGCCACTCAAGCAGGTGTTGACAAGCCTCCACAAAGGCCAATGCCGAGGAGAAGGACACAACAGAATCTAAGATGGCAATAACCTGGCCTGCTATGGAAGGTCGGTTATGGCGGTGCTCAAGCAGAGCTGCTGCAAAGCATTTCCAGGGCACACGCACCGCAGATCGCCCTGTCGAACATAGAGCTAACCCAAACATTAACAGTGCCAACCACTACCTGAACATATGGCCGCCCGTTCCAGCTGGCAGTCGGAAAAAACTCCCGCTTATCACGATACCTAGCTTCCGTAAAGAAAATCTAATGCGCATTCTGTAAATTCAACATAAAATTCTCGTGGTTTTTTTACAACTATCCTGGATTTATTTAAAACAGAGCTTTGCTCCCATAAAATCTTTTATCTCTTTTACAGGAGTACCGAGAATGCTCATTACAGTGTAGACCGCATATAACGTATGTCGCGGGAGTCACGAAAATCCGCACTATAAGCGGTACCGCGCTATAACCAAAACATCAATTTTTCAGGCCAAAATACATGCCATGAGACAACTTACCTTTGTAAAAGAATTTATTTTATGTTAGATGAAAAATAAAGCTTAGTTTGAGGAAGGTATTTATTTCACCAGACTAGTACTGCTAGTACACTTCTCTCTCAAGTGTGTCACACATTTTGAAAGAAATGAGCAACTTTTGCCTGGCGCAGCCTTCTAGCGGCACCGCGGGTTGCAGATGGACGTGGCGAGCGTTCAGGATTGCTAACCCTAATGACTTTTCTCCGGTGATGAAAACGCGTGAAAATTCGCATCCTTTATACGGTACGCGCCAGTAATACCTTCAACTTGAGCACAGGCATGAAATTCTCCAAATAAGAAATCAGGGCGATGTTCGAAAACACAAATGCTTAGAAAGCACCATTGTAGTCGAAGTAAACAAACACAACGACACAGGCGTTTCTGCCGTCTTGAGTGTGCCGCCACGACATCGCCGCACGAGTATGTGGATCTTCCCGTCTTTTACATACGTGCTGGGTTATCATAGCGACACACAGCGAAAATTCACAGTCAAGGATAGCGCTTTATGCGGAACGATGAGCTTCCACCATGCCTTCTATGTCGACGATCACAACCGACGTCATGTTTCCGGATAGAAGAAGCAAGAAGTTGCCCCGCAACCGGCATGCAACGCACGCGAACACTTCTCCTCGACCTGCGACTGGTCTGCCGTTGCGGTTGTTTCCTACGCAGCGGAGGGAAGCACGCACATGAACGACACGTGCATGCGTCCCTCCGTCGCTATGGCAACTGAAGCTTCTCTCTTCCGCTTCTTCGAGTCAGCCACTTCGAGCAACCTCCTTGCCCCGCGAGTGCCGCTTGCGGCTGGCGCCGTTATCTTGGTTATCTAGTGTTGCACAGGGAAGCGTGCTCGCTGCGTCGGTCGGCTCAGCGGGCTGTTTCAGAAACCACACTATAACCGGTATTTCCCTTGGCGCGCCTGCATTTTAAGCGGTCTGTAATTACATGGAGTTCTATGGGAGGCGAACCGGTGGTTTAAAAAAGCCGCGTTATACCCGGTCCTGCACTATAAGCGGTTACGTTGTAAGTGGTCTATACTGTACTAACCAGCACTGCTTATGAGAAAAGCTCGGCATACCAAACGTCAGAAAAGTGGAGAAATAGGACACGTCCCCACCCGCAGCAGTCTATGTACGCAGCCCAGAAGCTCACCGGTCGTGCCCAGTGGCGAGACCACTGTCTGGCCATCAACGTCCATCTTTTTGAGGCGGGGCCTCGGGTAAAGCACTCTGCGGGGCTTGGGGTACACCTGCTGCTCCATGTCGAAGACCTGCTGTAGCAGCTTCTCCTTCTCCAGGTACTGCTCATGATTGGCCGACCGGCTGTAGGGAAAAAGGATGGGGTATGCATAGGGACAGAGGTCTGTTATTCTAGCAAATGGCACACCAATGCACCGGGTGCCTCGTTTTAAAGCATAAGGTGTGTTAGAACGAAACCCACAAATCCCAGAAAGCTGATTGTCCCTCCGTTCATGCATACCTTATGCCAGGCAATGCGTGCACAGTTGGTCTGGCTGCCGTGTAACGGCGTGACGTGATGGCACTTCGCACGATGTCAGACTGTCGTGCACCACCACGACTTGACAGCGTAACACTACATGACATTTAATGCCTCTTAAACTAACTTTAACAATTGCTGCTTAAGCACTACATTCCACACATAAAGGTAACTGACAATATTTTTCACTAAAGGCAGCCCGTGATTGCAACATGCCCCCAAATCACACGGTAAACCCGGCACGGAGTTAGCCTTAGTAAGTTGACCGCCGAGTTTCGGGAATTTTTGTTTTCCAAGCTCATCTTTAAAGTTTAACATCCCTCTTGCGTAGTCTGATCTAGTTCATCGACCCACGAAAAGTTCAATTCAGCTTAAAACAATTCACGAATGGAAGCCGATGGCGGAAAGTCGGACAACACTACTGCTGCGAGCGATTTTTTCGTCGGGACAATGCAGGTACCCTCGCGTATAACATCACATTACAAAGTGGCTATTTTCTGCAGTTTTTTCATTTTCCTTTTTCTCATTTGGCTACTTCTAAGGCATACAGCCCCTTCTGGTCCACCCCTGGAAAGCCTGACAAAGCAGATTCTCAGTCTCCAAGAACGATCTCTTTCTCATTTCTTTCAAAACCCCTTTGAGTGCCACGCTTGAGTACACTCGGGCGCATTCACTTGTGGTTTCAGTTCCGCTTTGCTCCCTGTCCCTCCCATCTGGGCTGTCATCTGTTTTTATGTGCAGCAACATGCATGAGCAAGTGCTGAAAACAGTGTTTTATCTTGTGGTGCCACTTCTTGATGACAGTGGCACATATTGTTATTATTTTTCTAGGCAACTTTTGTTTCGGTATGCTCCTTCATTGTTACAGAATGGCAAATCTATGCGTTTAATCTCACGCTTCATGGTGCGAACACCGAGATCTAGAAATTACTAATGAACTAGGTATTTGACGACCATGAGAACAAGGAAGGAAGGAAGGAAGGAACCATAGCATAAGAGAGTGACCTTACGGTGCGAGGTCAAGGTGCCACTGCATAGTACCGTGCCTCAAAAAGTACAATACAAGAAATATGTCGTCGGTTAGGGGCATGCAGACATCAATTAGCTTTTTGCCTATAAAGTGCTGTCTTTCATAAATAAATATTCTTCATAGAGCACGCTAGTGTTATTTAGACAAAATTTGCATTCAGCATGCAGGGAAAAAAAACAGCATTCAAAGGGTTCAAAAAACACAAAACCTAGAAAACAAAAAAAAAATTCTACCTGGTCAGGACAGGCATGCCGCAAAATAAATGTTTGTCGAAAAAAATATATATACATTTTCCCAATGTCCATGTTACAATACAAATTTTTCGATTTCCAGGCGAAACCGAAATTGTATTCTGTGGCATGATGATGATGCTGATGATGATGATGATGATGATAGTATTTGTACGCAACTATACACCAACTCATGTCTACAAATAAACCGAAGCGCCCCTAGCGGACACCACCGACGTCGCGCATGTTCGGTGGAGGAAGGGCAAGAAGCTCACCGTCGCCCATAAACAAACCATTGAATTGCGTTGTTGTCGGCGTCGGTGTAAAACCCCGTGCTCTTTTTCTTATTAGAATTGTTGATTTTACGTCCTCATAGCAATGTCTTACCACTTTAATTGCCTGAGCGAAATTATCAAGATTCGTTACGCCGCTAAACTTTGCGTAAATAATTTGACGTGCGGTGATTCCTTCGCATGAACGCTGCAGAATGGACGCCAAAACCATGATGTTATTCTTCTAGCTATTTTCGGTCGCAATGTCGCTCGTGCTGCAGAAGTGTAGAAGGTAGCGGCGATGATTGATGCCGATACTGAAAATTGGAAGCGAGAACAGACTAAGCGTAACAAGTCGGTGATGGCCACTGGTACCAATGATCAACATCTTGTATCTACTGCTTACACCGAGCCTACTTAAGCCTTTTGAGGCTTGCAACTACTTCTTATTGCAATCACCTGGTCAAAGTTTGGTCTACGGGCCGCTTTTGTTTGAACGTGCAAACAACAAAACGCAGACAAGTTTGAAAGAGCAGACGAAAGTTCGAACGATCAGGCGGCTGTGTGAATTTGAAGATGCACTGAACCCTCGGGTGGTCCGGACAACTTGGCGGTTTTTTTCTCCTTCATGTTGGAACAAAACAACTACATCTGGCCTCCCCTGAGGACTACTACAAATGGACCAAAGTGAACGCGCATGCCGGAGCCCTTTTGGACTTTATACGGGATGCACAAATAGCGCACCTAATCTAAACAATCAAGCTATGCTTGTTGCACGAAGAAAAAAAAAAAAAAAACTACATCTGACGACCACAAAGTGTTGCCGCACAAGCAATCGTAGTTCGACAGCGTCTGGTTTGCCCTTGTCACGGCTACTATGCACGTTCTCGGACTAACGGAGGGGGCAGAAACACATGAAAACTGATCTTCAAACCTTTCCAGACTCTCTTGGTACAGCCCCTGTTGCAGCATTTTGACAAGAGGGCAGCTTTTTTGTCTGGTTTCCCCCAAAAAAATGCAGGAATGCATGTCTCGCACGGCGACTCCTGCCCACTGCCCCAGACCGGAAGTGCACCCAATGCGCCACCACCGCGGCGCGACGTAGGAGAGTTGAGTTTGTGTACAGACCGTTTTACTGAAAGAGGGCGAGAGAGAAAAGGGGAAAGGGCTACCGGCGCTTTCCCCCTTTCTGATTGTGTAGAAAGAGTGAAAGTCCCAGATGAGAGGCTTGGCCGGTGTTGGGTGTCTGCTGTGCCCCAACTTCGTTCGCGCTTTCTTTTCTGTTTTGAACTCGCAAACTTAATTAAAGTAACGGGCTTCGATGGCAACAGTTCCCCGGTCATCGGGACACCATTGCTCGGTCATACGGTGCACGAATAACGACAGAAAGCGTTGAATACTGTCCGAGGACCTATGTAGCTTGCAATGAATCCGGCAAGGCGAGAGCGGCTGCAATGTCTTTAAGGTCCATCGCTTTCCAAATGACCCCGGTCTTGGCGGCAGTGGATTCCGTTCGTAAACCGAAAGGATATTTCCTCAACACCATCTTCTCGACTGTGCTCGGAACAGCTTGTGAATGGAGCGCGCACCAAACGCTGTACCGCCGATGAACATAGGGTACGCTCGCAAGGTGCGTGCCAGCTCTCTCATGATAACTGCTGTTTCAGCTTGTAAAATTTTGTAACTGAATTTATCTTAATATTGATAATTTGCAGTGGTGACTGACTCGATTTCATCATTTACAATACTTAGTTGAAGGCTTATTTCCGCCGCCGGGTGAGGCTAGAAATTGTTGAAAAGGTACTTCTATCGGTTTTCCTGAATAGCGATCCCCTGTGCGATACCAGAGCCGACAAAAGCACTCCGTGGAGTGCCGCGGGTGGGTTGTTTCCGTTGATTGGGCACTTTGAAGCGCTGGATAGTCGCTCCAGGGTACGACTCGTGTGTTGCGATCTGCGTCTTCGAGCCCAGTGTGTACGTTTCTTTGTTAGAGTCATGGCATCCGCCAGTGCGGCAACGGGGGGAACAGCGGCAGCGAACGTGTCAGTGATAGAAATTGGAGGTTAGTACTCAAAATATTGCATCAAATAGTAAAATAATTCGTGGCTGCTGTGACGCTTTCTGCGGTTCGATATAAGCACATCTAGAACGTCTTCGTCGTTCACCCACAATGAAATATGAGAACACGGACACGCAAGATAAAAGCAGCGCAGCAAAACGATATGTAGCAGCTCCGGGTGTTTACAAAAGTTAATTGAGGTTCCCATTTTGTGTATTGCTTGTTCATTACTAAAATCGGCTGCGTTGAGATGGGCCTATTGCAAGCAAAAATTTATGATTGGTTCATCATTTCCAGTCACGCGGAAAGCGGTGGAGCTTCAAAACATTGCAGCCACACGTGCCTTGCCGAATTCCATGCAAGCTACGAGGTCCTTGGGCGGTATTCGACGCTTTCTGTCGTTATTCGTGCACCCTATGACCGAGCAATGGTGTCCTGATGACCGGGGGACTGTTGCCATCGAAGCCCGTGGCTCTAATTAAGTTTGCGAGTTCAAAACAAAAAAGAAAGCGCGAAAGATGTTGGGGCACAGCAGACACCCAACACCGGCCAAGCCTCTTCATCCGGGACTTGTACTCTTTCTACACAATCAGAAAGGGGGAAAGCGCCGGTAGCCCTTTCCCCTTTTCTCTCGCTCTCAAAATGGTGCTAACCATGATAAAACGGTCTATACTCTGTGTTACTAGTTTCAGGCAGTACAGGCAAAGATGATGCAGAGTATGAATTTTTAGCACACATCGAAAATGGAAACAAGATTAAACCAATCTGGCTGAAACCAAGAGTTCAAGAAACTCTCAAAATAGGGATGGACGCAGGGTCCAAATACTCTCTTCTGTCAATGACTCTGTACAAGGAACACTTCTCGCACATGTGACTGCAAAGAACACCAGTGCGTTCTAATACCCTGATGGGTGAAACTTTCAAACCAGAAGGTATTGCAACAGTCAAGGTGACACTTGGGAAGTCAATGGGCCAACTGCAGCTGTTTGTGGTGGACACCCCAGGACCTCTGCTCTTCAGGAGGGATGGGATCAACCATTTAAACCTTCTCAAGCTTAGCAACGTGTTGAAGGTGGACAGCCAGCCTGAACTAAAGAAACAGGACCAACTAAACATGAAGACCGCAGAGTACAAGGACGTCTTCGATTACAACATCGAGAAGCTCAAATACTTCAAACTGAAGCTGCACCTGAAGGATGATGCTCATTCCAAGTTCTGTCGTCCACATCAAGTC